CAAACGGTAGTAGTGAGATAGGGAAAATGTTCCAGAACTGCTGAACGCTGCTGGACAAAGTCTTATTCTGCATCTGACTTCCTCCACTAGAAATGTATGCTATGCTCATACAATTTGGCTCTTTCCTCTGTTAAAGAAAACTACTTCGATACCCTTATAACCACATTCTCCCAAGAACTCAAACACATCTTTCACACTTTTAACTCTTTACTTCTCCCTGTTGCTGCTCCTCCTACTTCTACTAACTTGACCGCTACAAACTTTGCAAAGAGGAGATTTCCATGATCAGGGCAGAGATCTCTAATCAGGTGTCTAAGAAGTGTCTGTTCTGCTTCTGTCCTCCCGTCCCACCACTTGTTCCCTTGATTCTATTCCCTCACATACAAGCCTGTTATGTTGACTTATTAAAAAAATCTGAATCCAAGAGCACCAAAGTTGACAAAACACGTCAGCTAACGATAAAGAAAAAAACAACACCATAGCTTATTGGCCTTACACCCCTCTGTAATAATCTGTATTTCGTGGCGAACCGTTCGGGACATCACTATTTATTATTTTATATAACACAAAGTATTTTTGAAGAATGTTTTGCTCAGGTGAGCAAAAAATGCATAAGAGCTTTTCGGTACCAACATGCAAACTATTGTGTATTGTCCCTTCATGCTCTTCATTCTGACAGTGAAATGTGTCCCATATCTGTACCTATAGAATTGTCAGTAAAGTAAACATTGAAAAGATCGAAGATTTTACAGCAAACCTGTATGTAGATGATGTGCTATTGGACTAAAGTATTATTGGTTGGATGGATTTTTTTTTTTGTGTTTGGCTCTTCTCACATTTCTTTGATTGTGTCATTGTGCAGAAATAATTAACCCCTTGTATGCCAGAGGGCTCACATTTGCACAACACACTCTTATTGAACCTCCAGCGGTTAACAACCGCTGCTGGCTGCATAGTTATACTGGCTGTGCACATTTTTTTCCAAGTTCACCTGTTTATACCATATGATTCAGCAAACCACTGCCTCTAAGGCATTTATTGTGCACACGCAGAAATCTATAGACTTCAGAGATTTGCAATATTTTGCATACTGTGGTATTCATGGTAAAGAAGGGAAAGGTGCAAAATCAAAAACATTACATGTACAGACAGGCACTAAATCGCACACTATGATTACAAATTGAGGTAATTAAAAGGATTAAAACATGGGGATTTTGCATTATATGTCATGAAAGCTTAAATAACAGCCATACAGGACCCAATTGTTCATATCTAAATAAAATTAATATATATAAAGAACTAATATAAGTTTGCAAAATAATTGTAGGCATTAGAGTGGAAAGGCAAAATAAAACCCTGATATACACTTTTTATTCATTTTCATTAACAGAGAATTTTAAAATCACAGCAAGCCATAGAGTTTTAATTCATCTGCCAAGGCAAAAACAAATCTTAGCACTAACAGTTACTCTGACTGCCTTTATCTCAAAGTTAAAAGCTCTAAAACAAAATTTCTTATAAAACACTAATTATTCATGCTAAACAGAGTACATATGTAGGACAGATGACTATACAGTAATAGGGCTGTGAAATTAAATTGATAATAGAGATGTCTTCTAGTACCCACAAACAGAATAGTTTGGATTAAGGTACTGATCTCTCGTTTAGACATGACAGTCATAAAGAGAAGGATTTGAGAAAAAAAAATGCATATGGTAAAACCCATGCCAGAGATCATGCACTATGCAGTGAGTTGTGCTAAATTAACCCTCAGGAATATTCCCCTTCATTTTCCTAATCAAAACTTCATATGAGCCACTGGGGTTCACATGAAGATGACTGGAAACTATGCCTATGCTTCAAAACAGTGATGGGTAAAACTGTCTGAGAATGGTAGATATTGCGTTAAGAAAGGTATTCACCCACAAGTATTTAAGGAGCGAAGTGTGGAAACAAGTAAACCTCTGTTTTTAATCTTTCAGGATTCTTTTATTTCAAGAATTGTACCAGGGGATTGGAGAAAGGCAGATGTGGTTCCTTATTCAAAAAGCGTTAAAAATATTTTCCTGGAAATTATAGACCTGTGAGTTTATCTTCTGTGGCTATTAAAGTATTTGAAGGGTTATTAAGGGGTGATATTCATTAATTCATTGAGAAGAACATTGTTATTAGAAAAATCTGCATGGTTTTATGAATCATAGGTCAGGTCATACTAACTTAATTAGATTCTGTGAAGAAGTAAGAAGAAATGTAGATCAGGGTATTACAGTGAATGTGATCTACTTGGATTTTGCCAAGGCATTCTATACAGTTCCACACAATAGGTTAGTTTTCAAACTAAAAGAAATTGGGCTAGATGAAAATTATTTTTCTCAAGTAGAACATTGACTTAAAGACAGAGTACAAAAGGATGTCCTTAATGGTACATTTTCAATATGGACAAAAGTAATAGGTGGTGTCCCTGGGGGCGGGCCTCGACCGTCATACTGACTGGACGTAGCAAGCTCGAGCTCCTGACAAACATTACCTATATTGAGGCTCAGGGGTCCTATGCTCACCGATAAATGGCTAGAAACAACTGATACCCAAGTCTGGCACAGTCTAAACACCATAGGTGTTGATTCGGAACAGAACTGCTCCTCCTCATGAGTGGCTGTGTCTTCACCTGTCCCTGGCCTATTGCGGTCCCGTGGTGGGATAAGCGTCTGATCTCTTACCAGAGGCACTACGGCTATTCAGCTGACCCATGAGCCCCGCACTTTCCCTCTCTGAGCCGGCGAGGGTTATCCCGGTTCCCACCAAATAAGTCTGCTCTCACCTCGGTACTACAACTGGGCGAATCCTGTAAGACTGGCTTCAACAAGGCCCTTTCAAACTGGCCGATGACAGTATAGCTGTGCAGCATGAGACACAGGCCTCAACCATCACATGGGAGGCAGCCTTCCAGAGGGCATTAGATGCCATTTGCCAATGGTTCTGGAGGAAATTACAGACTCAGAAGCAGCAACCTACACCACCCACTTCTGTGCGTAAAGACAGAGCTTCACCACGGAGACTCCCTCCCAGGTGAGGATCCAAGAAGACCAGAGTGCCCACACCCCGTCCAAGTACCTGGAGAAGATATCACCACCCAAGGTAACAAGGCTTCGCCCTGACTTTAGGAAGAGAGGCCTGTGAATACTGGGTGAAGGATCATGTCACTGCCTGAGGCTTAAAGGAAGCGGCACAAAGCGGCATCTAGGGAGACTCACATAACCTTGTACCACAACCTGGACTCTGCCCAGATGCTACAGGCATAGGATAGGCATAGAATGCACAGCATCCATAAATTCACTTACAATAGCAGTACACCCCATGTTTACATTAAGGCTACTGCCTAGGAACCATTTATAGCTTTCCTACCATAAAGTTTATAGCCTGTTTTCCATTCTGCATGTCTCTTAACTTAGTACATCTAACTCTATACATACCCCCTGAGTCCTACTGGTAAATGGTGGTTCACTTCACTATGAAAACATGGCCTGAATATGTCAGTTTTATACAAAAATGGTGCACTGCTCTCAAATGCCTCATAACAGTTTTCTCTGTAATAAGTTTTGCTTGTCTATGTTTTTGGACATTACAAGCGTATGTATCTTAATTTTTTTGTACTACAAAAATAAAGAAATATATAAATTAATAAAAAAATAAAAAATAAGTGGTGTCCCTCAGGATTCTGTTTGGGAACTGCTTCTATTTAACATATTTATAAACGATTTTGATATAGGAAATGGAAGTCATGCTTCAGTGCTTGCAGTTGAAATCTGTAAAGTAATACAATGTGAGCAGAATATTACTACACTGCAGAGGGATTTAGACATATTGGGGCACTGGGCACTCAAATGGCATATTAAATTTAATTTAGACACATGCAAATGTATGCACTACAGGATAAAGAATGCACAAGCACCTTACTCCATAAACGGTAGTGAATTATATATAACAACATATGAGAAGAATTTGTGAATTGTTATAGACATCAAACTAGGCAACAATGTGCAATGTAATCCAGTAGTAGTAAGAGCCAATGTATAAATATGGCATTAATTCTTGGGATGAAAATATAATTTTGCCTCTTTATAAATGAATGATAAGACCACACCGTGAATATGAAAACACAAAGGGTGATGCAGTGCCTGGGGAGTATATGTGATAAAAACAAGGGAAAAAATTGAGAACTATTAGTGAAGTATGTCACAGTTCCAATAAATAGTAAAATAAAAATAAGCACACACTTTTTAGGAGCTAAAATATAGCTCCAACTTTAGCGCCTGGGCGGAATGATCCCCGCCTATGGATATGGTGGAGTATAAATTCTTGTGGTTGATTCTTACAGTGGTGGTGATGCTTGTAGATATGTAGAAGAAAATAAAAAAATTATGGTGCAGTATATTAAATACAAATATAAAAAATAAAAATGATAGGGGATGTGCATGCATGTGTTCTGGAGTCTGGGAAGTAGTATAATCCCTACTCGTGGATATCAGTGGTGGTGATAATATAAATAAATTGCACAGACAAACCAAAATAGTGTACACCGTGTTGAGTGAGGAATATAATGAAGTGGATAAAAACTACTCATGTTTAGCACAGCAGATAAGATTCATCTATCCAACAGGCACAGTAGGCATGTGCATGGGAAAAATTTTCAGTTCGGTTCGGCATTCCGAAATCCGGGACTTCGGCGCTTCGACACTTCGGAACTTCGACACTTTGGAACTTCGGCAACTTCGACACTTCGACACTTCAGAACTTCGGAACTTTGGAATTTCTGAACTTCTCTTGCAGCCGCTTGGTAGATAACTCCCTAATTCCCAGGCTGAAAGACGTAAATTGGTCTTTCAGCTAAATTTACTAATACTAAGTAAAGATTACTTAGTAGTGATATCCCGAACGGTTCGCCGAACGGTTCGCCACGGACCGCGAACATAAACATTAACTTTGACCCTGTACCTCACAGTCAGCAGACGCATTCCAGCCAATCAGCAGCAGACCCTCCCTCCCATATCCTCCTACCTCCTGGACAGCATCCATTTTACATTCATTGTGAAGCTGCATTCTTAGTGAGCTGTCCAGGAGGTGGAAGGGTCTGGGAGGGAGGGTCTGCTGCTGATTGGCTGGAATGTGTCTGCTGACTGTGAGGTACAGGGTCAAGGTTTATGTTTATGTTCGCCGTTCGTGGCGAACCGTTCTGCGAACCGTTCGGGACATCACTATTACTTAGTATTAGGAAATTATGTCCCTACTCGCTTTACCGCGAGTGGGGGCATGTCTAGTAAACAGTGAGCAGCCAGACTGTTAAAAAAAATAATTAAAAAAAAAGGGTCCCCCCTCCCAAGCCCCAACCCCGGAGCGGTTCTCTGAAACTGCTATGTTTATAGAAGAAAGGGTTAAACCTAGCTGGACCAGGCACCCAGACCACTTCATTAAACTGAAGTGGTCTGGGTGCCTATAGTGGTCCTTTAAATTATTTTTAGGGTGATGGGGGTAGGTAGGGGTTAATTTTTGGGGGGAGGGCGGTGACTAGGGGATTGGGGACCCCTAGTCACCTGGGGGAGGGGGGTTAGTTTTTATTTATTAAGGGCCCCCACCCAGCGGTCGGTAGGATATTAGGTCCCCCCTAATTAGTATTTAGGGCCCCCACCCACTGCTCAGGGGTTGGGGACAGGGGGGAGGACATTAGTCCCCCCCCTAATTAGTATTTAGGGCCCACACCCACCGCTCAGGGGTGGGGGCCAGGGGGGAGGACATTAAGTCCACCACCCTCATTCTAATTTAGGGCCCCCACACACCGCTCGGTGGTGGGGGCCAGAGGGGAGGACATTAGGTCCCCCCCCTTATTAGTATTTAGGGCCCCCACCCACCATTCAGGGGTGGGGGCCAGGGGGGAGGACATTAGGTCCTTCCCTCTCATTCTAATTAAGACCCCCACCCACCGCTTAGGGGTTGGGGCCAGGGGGGAGGACATTAGTTCCCTCCCTCAATTAGTATTTAGGGCCCCCACCCACTGCTCAGGGGTGGAGGCCAGGGGGAGGACATTAGGTCCCCCTCTAATTAGTATTTAAGGCCCCCACCCACCGCTCAGGGGTGGGGGCCAGGGGGGAGGACATTAGGTTCTCCCCCCTCATTCTAATTTAGGGCCCCCACCAACCGCTCAGGGGTGGGGGCCAGGGGGGAGGACATTAGGTCCCCTCCCTTATTAGTATTTAGGGCCCCCACCCACCATTCAGGGGTGGGGGCCAGGGGGGAGGACATTAGGTCCTCCCCCTCATTCTAATTTAGGGCCCCCACCCACCGCTCAGGGTAGGGGGCCAGGGGGAGGACATTAGGTCCCCCCAATTAGTATTTAGGGCCCCCACCCACCGCTCAGGGGTGGGGCCAGGGGGAGGACATTAGGTCCTCCCACCTCATTCTAATTTAGGGCCCCTAAATTTAGTATTTAGGGCCCCCACCCACCGCTCAGGGGTGGGGGCCAGGGGGAGGAGATTAGACCCCCCCCTTATTAGTATTTAGTATGTGCAGGAGCCGCAAGAATTCATATCCTGCCATCTTGGAAGTCAGGCCTCGTCCCCTAGTTATATAAGTTTTAATTTGTGGGGTAATAGCTTCTTGATCTAAGGAGATGTTTGACTGCCTTTCTGGGTCAAGAAGGAATATTTTCCTAGTTTCTTGCAAAATTGAAGAGCACTTCAAAACAGTTTATTTGCCTTCTTTTGGAGCAACAGCAAAAACAGATGTGAGAATGTCCTAACTTGATGGGCACGTCTCTTTTCAGCCTATGTAACTATGTTACATTTCAGCACCATAACCACTACAACAAGTAGTGTTATTGGGCCCCCACAGGGTATTTCTGGCACCATAACCATTACATAACTAAGACACTCCTGGCACCTTAACCACAGTGTGTTGTAATGGTCTGGTGATTATAGTGCCCCTTTAATCTGTGGAGGAAGTAGACCCTAACAAATGTTATAACAATGATGTTTGATTTTGTTCTTGGGGCATAAGTAGCATTTTTAAACAATTTGTTTTCAAATTCAAATTCTTCAAAGATCATTATGTAGCCAACGTTTCCTGATATATTGGATTGGGGAGTAAACAAGAATGTCAAAAGTGTGTAAATCTTTATATACTTTGACAGTATATACAACATTGACATTTACCACAAGCTAGGGAAGAGAGTTCCTTTTCAATCTCTTATATTTACAGTAGCCCCTTGCTTAGAAAATTGGCAGGTCCACTGGCGCCAAGGAAAACCCAACAGAGAAATAACAATATGGGGTTAATTTGCTAGCAAATACCAGATTGTAGTGAATTGAACCTGGAATTCTGAAATTAGGCTAAAATAGTTCATTTGAAAATTTCTCCAACTAAGCTGAAGTCACAGGGTAACATCAATGTTGCAATTCAGTTTTCAATTTACAACAGTTTCATGTTTAGTGAATAAACCTCCTGGTGCTAAAAAAAACTTAGCTTCTATAAAGTTATACATATGTGTTATCATTTCAAAGTACCTTCATTTACCAGTACAGTGTGCATTTAAGTCAGTATCTCTTTAAATCATGTTAACAAATTTAGCGTGAAAATATATTTTAATTCCATTAGAGCTAGACGTGCAATTTTGTTAAGCAGATGCATTTTAAAAAGTAAAAATATCTTATTGTTTTGGAAACCTAATTTTCTATGCTTTATAAAACCAATGCTAAGATGGGCTAGGATGTATTTGCATCTATAGATCGTCACCAAATGTACAAGGTGTACGTACAATGTACAAGGGTGTATGATTTACTCTTTCTCTTGCTTTATAAGCACAGCTGTGGAATTTGAAGAGACAACCCCGAGTAAGTGTGTGATTTCAAACCTTTATCTCAGTTAAGGATTTGTTTTTCGTACTTCTTTGTAAATAACTGCGGAACAAGTTAACACAAGTGAAAGGGCATGTGTTCAATGCTCATTGCCCAAGCTTTTTTTAGCATCACATTGTATTTACCATTTGGAACACGGTAATCATTAGTAGCCAACATATGCAATTGCACTGTACCTGTTGAGAGTGTGAAAAATGAAAGGCATTGTGAGATGTTAAGAATAAGAATTGCATGCATTGCAAATGACCTCAGGTTCAAAAAGTTCCTAAATAATTTTGGCCTGAACTTGTTACTCTACTTTAGTGGGTGTTGTCCAAATGCCACAAAGCAAACAGATAACACGCAAGGTGAAATTCTCAGTGAAGACACACCTTGGTGATGCCCTCTGGGATTTGCAGATGACTGCAATGTCTCCCGTGACATCATAAGAAATTCTTTTTCATAACACATAAGTGTCTAATTACCAAACCCTAACAAAGTAAGGCCTCATTTAGTGTGGGAAGGTAGAGTATGTGACTACAAGACATGTGTTTGAAAGGAATGTGTGACAAAACACCTGGAAATCAATGACATTACACTAACCTTACTGTTGTAAGAATGGCTTAGGTGCTATATTATTTTCCATGAATATGGAACACAAAATAAAATAAAAACTAATTGCTTTATTTAGACGTATAATATGCTAGAACAAAGGAATGCCTTTAGAATTTGTGAGATCAAATGCATTTTAATAGATTTATGCAGCACACTCGTCATCACATAAAATCTAATTTATGAATTACTGTTGTCGTTATATAAGGTTAGGTCACTTGGGCAAATGTTTTAGTGTTTAAAACAAGCTGATAACATTCTTGGGTGGTGGGGGATGTCTGGCACATAGAAAAGTTGGTATAGGTCTAGAGCAGGCTTTCCCAAACTCCAGCCCTCCAGATGTTGCTGAACTACAACTCCCATGATTCTATGAATGAAATAGATAGGCTCAGAATCATGGGAGTTGTAGTTCAGCAACATCTTGAGGGCTGGAGTTTGGGGAAGCCTGGTCTAGAGGAATCAACATGGAAACCACTAGAATGTTCCTGTTGAGTTTATATGGTAAATGCCCCTATTTTTTAACCTTGTTCTATGAGGAACCTCTGTAAATATAACTTTTTGGTGGTGAGCAGTGTTCCAATATTTTACTACATATATTAGTATCTATCTATCTATCTATCTATCTATCTATCTATCTATTATTATTATTATTATTTATAAAGCGCCAACAAATTCCGCAGAGCTGTACAATGGGTGTGCTGCCTGGGTCCAAGCATGAAATGCTGCCCCCCTCCAGCAAAACCACACCAACCAAGACACACCCACGTCCATTATGTTATGCAGTGTGTGTAATGGATGCAGCGTGTGTATTGTGTGCAGTGTGTGTATTTGTTTAGTGGAAGCAGTGGATGCAGTGTGTGTGTATTGCATTGCGTATGTGTGTATAATGGATGCAGAGTTTTTGTGTGGATAGTGAATGCAGTGTGTGTGTGTGTAGTGGATGCAGTGTGTGTGTAGTGGATGTAGTGTGTGTGTAGTAGATGCAGTGTGTGTGTATAGTGGATGTAGTATGTGTGTGTGTATTGTGTGCAGTGTGTGTATTTGTGTAGTGGAAGCAGTGGATGCAGTTTGTGTGTATTGCATTGCACATGTGTGTATAATGGATGCACAGTTTTTGTGTGGATAGTGGATGCAGTGTGTGTGTTTAGTGGATGCAGTGTGTGTATAGTGGATGTAGTATGTGTGTGTGTAGTGGATGCAGTGTGTGTTTGTAGTGGGTGCAGTGTGTGTGTATGGTGAATGCAGTGTGTGTGTGTGTATATAGTGGATGCAGGGACCGTGTTCGTTAAGTGCATGCAGTGTGTGTTCGTGGTGATAAGTAAATTTGTGGGGGTGAGCAGTTTTTAAATTATTTTTATTTTAACTTATTCCCCACTCCCTACACTTACTTATTCCCCCCTCCATTCACTTACTTATTCCCCCCTCCCTCACTTATTCCCCCCTCCCTGCACTTACTTGGTGGTCCAGTGGAGCTGGAGCTGGAGAACAGTGGAGAGGGAGCCCTGAGAGTGATCTTACAATCCCCAGCAGCAGCAAGTATTCTTCTCTCGCGGCACGCCGTGCATGCCAGACCTGCTGCTGCTGGATTACTCTCAGGGCTCCCTCTTGACTTTCCACACCAGCAGGACCCAGTACAGCACATGTATATAGCGGTACTCGCTATATATATGTACAAATA